TAAAATCAAATATAACGAAACGTTCTGCTTCGCGAGTGCTCACTGTACTTGTTGCAATACGAGTTGAACTCGCAAACGCGCCAAGGCGGATTATACTATTATTATTATTATTTTTATTATTATTATATCTATTATAAAGCAGTTAATAAAGGCTTGTGGAAATTGTGAGTCACATTTGTGTATTTGAGAGTGTAAGGGGGGCGCGGGTGGGCTTGGGGAGTGGGGGGAGTATGTCGGAGCAGTGTTTGGCAAAGATTTGAAAAGAAAAACAAAAACTGAAACCAATTGCGAATTTTAACAAATTCGTGCTCTACGAAATTAGCCAAATTTAGCTAGAAAATAGCTAACACTGCCTGCCAGACAAGTTTAGCTTGAAGCCAGATAAAGGCAACGGAATCTGGAGTTTATCTCTAGATAACTATGAGCTATGCCGTGCCAAATGTGCGAAAACTTAAGACTAGATAAATATATATTAAAATGTTTAAGAGACCTGAATCTGAATCGGAATCTGAATGTGCAACTGGTACCGTAACCGAAACTGGAAACTATGGCTAAATATGGCTAAATATACGGACTAGTATATAGATGTATACGCTATAGTAATGCCTAGAGTCTGGCGTATGGGTCCGGCAGCTGGGGAGCGAGTTGCCGGCACTTACCATTTGATTGAAGAATGGATGTCTTAATACTTCCTTGACGGTGATACGTTGCGCAGGATCAACGACTAGACATTTGCGTATCAGATCTTTGGGATCCTCTGTAAGCAGACGGGAATAACAATAATTAAATATATAGCTCTATAGATGTGTGTGTGTGTGTGTGTGTGTGTGTGTGCTGGAGCCTTGCCTGAAATATCGGCCCATTCGGGCGAGGTGAAGCTGTATTTGCCCTCCATTATGTTGCGCAGCATCACCATCTGCTTGCGATGCCAGAACGGCGGACAGCCGACCAGGAGCGTGAACATGATGACGCCGCAGGCCCAGCTGCAAGATAAACAGGACAATTGTTAATGCAAGGATTAAACGAGTTTATGCTCCACATACATGTCCACCTCCTGCGAGTAGCCCGGCGAGCCCTCGAACATGTTGCACTTGAGCGTCTCCGGCGCCAAGTAGCCCGGCGTGCCGCACAGATCTGCATGGGAGCAAGCGAGAGAGAGAGAGAGGGAGACGAATTAATACATATTTTGATAAGGATCTGGTTATTCGGTTTGGCACCTGTAAGTTTCTCGCCCTCGTGCAGCTGCCTGGCAAAGCCAAAGTCTGTGATCTTCACATTGTGATTCTCGTCGAGCAGTATGTTCTCCGGCTTGAGGTCGCGATGGACAATGTTCTTGGCGTGTATATACTCGACACCCTCGAATATCTGTCGCATAATTGTGCGCGTCTTCTTCTCGGAGAGCGTCACCACCGATGTCAGATAGTCGAAGAGCTCGCCCTTGGGGCACAGCTCGAACACGAGAAACACAAATGCATCCGACTCGAACACGTCCTGCAAATCGACTGTCCAAATGCATATATTATTATTGGTTATATCTAATTTGAATTGTCGCTGCAAACTCACTTATGTAGGGATGCCCCATCACCTGGCGCAGTATTGAGATTTCCTGTCTGGTTGCTTCGAGCATGTGATATGGATTCGTTTCGCCCGCCTCTGTCGTGGCGCCCAGATCGATTATCTTCGCCGCGAACTCCTTGCCCGTCTCCTTCTCAATGCAGCGTCGCACCGTCGAGCTGATGCCCCTGCCAAATATCAAATGCGAAATCTTATTAGCGATCTTTAAACGAAGTATCTGCTGCTTCTTCTCTGCGCCTTATAGAGCCTGCCACAGATTTGGTCTTTGCAGTCCGATCCTAATCATGTTTTCAGGCCACAGTCTGGCCGAATCTAGAACCTGGCTAAATGTCATCTATTTGAGAGGATTGCGGGGAATGGAGCCTGTTTTGGCATGCTAAAGACAGAGAGAGCGAGAGGGAGAGGCAGGGAGAGGGCGCTGCAGATTGGCACTATCTAATCCCGATAAGGTCTGAGGCCCTAAAAAGTTGCTTACATCAGTTACAGCTTTACGAGCTGTTTGCCTAACGATGCGATGCACACGTCGCAACCGGATGCCAGATACCTCTGCTCCATGCTCAGCATTTCTTGACGCTCAAGTTCAGTTCAAGGTGGCAGAGAGCAAATATTGACCTAGCCGGGAAGGGGAATTCGCCAGATACACAGGGTCCAGCAGGGGGGGGGGGCAGCTTTCATACTGTCTAGCAGAGGGCGATTCCTCCATCCAGCAGAGGAGTATCTGCCATAACAGAAGGGGTATCTGCCAGGGGATTATCTTCCACAGGGTCTAGCAGAGGCGAATCTTCCATAGGATCCAGTAGAGTAGTATCTTCGACAGGGTCTAGCGGGGAGGGCAGCTACCAAAGGGTCTAGCATGAGGGGGAATCTTACATAGGTTCCAGCAGAAAAGTATCTCCACCATAGGGACTAACAGGGGGCATAACCTGCACATGGTCTAACAGAGGAGTATCCTCCCCTCGGGGTCTAGAAGGAGGATATCTGCCACAGGGTCTAACAGTGGAGCATCTTCCATAGTGTCTAGCAGAGGGTATATATTCTCCACAGGGTCTAGTAGAGGGGGGATTCTTCCATAGAGTCTAGCAGAGGGTTATCTGCCAGGGAGTATACTCCATAGGGTCTAATCAGGGGTTAGCTTCGATAGGGTGTTCCGCCTTCCTTTTAACGGACCTCTCCCCCCCTCCCAGACTCGAGCTCAGCTTACGCCTCTTGCCAACGCCGTCTACCCCCCAAGGGGGGGAGGGAGGTATGGGGTGGGGGTCTTGGATTTAATTCCCATGAATTTTGGGGTACTACGCGACAGTTCACACGTCTCGAGCTCAGCATTTGCCCGTTGGGCAATCGAAGACGCCAACGCGTTGAGTCATGGCGCGATAATTGGGCAACTCGTTGCAGAAAAGCGAAATAAAATGGAATAAAATAAAAAATCAAATAAATAAAATAAGAAATGAATTGAAATAAACAAAGTTTACAATTGCGCCAAGTCGGCACAAAAGAGCAACAATAAATAAACAATAGCTCCGGGCACACACCGAACCAGCGAATGCTCTACCCAAATATCCCAAATACCCAGATATATCCAAGTACTCGGCATATCTGAGAACATCAAATGCAACCCTGAGCACAGCGCAGAGAAAACTTTGGCAGAGGTTTTCTTTCTCTCCCAAGAAAAATAAACACAATTGCGATATAGATTTGATGGAATTGAGGCAAATTTATCGATTATCGATTATTTTAGAGTTCTTAAAATTCAGTTTTTTTTGTACTTTATTTTGCGAAAGGTCTTCTGTGACTATGCGAGAAAGTACATAACAAAAGTTGGCTTCTCCAGCTCATAAACAACTTCGATAAATGCTCAGCAAAGTGGTTATCGATAACGGTATAATTGATTCTGGGCAAGTTATCGATGCTTCGAGCAGAGTTTGTGCTACTTGGAAGGACCCACGTTCACAACTTCTATAGGTCTTAAAGAGATTCTCGAGATCGAAGCGTTTATCTAGTCGAGGGAACAGAAAAGGATGTGGCATTTTGTGTTGACCGAGAAAATGGAATAAAATGGATATTTATTCCAATTCTGCGATTTTTGCGAGAATGGGGAATTGTATCCGATAAATGGAATATTTCTTATTTGTATAAACTATACCAAGTTTGGTGTGGATAGCTCTTATAATCTTCGAGTTTTCCCAAGTCTCCAAATGTGTATCGATAATATGGAAATGAAAGGAGTTATCGATAATATCAAAATAAAAAATTTATCGATAATATGGATGTGAATAGTTGATCGATAATATGGAAATAGATGTATTTATCGATATTGTGAACATTAAAGAAGTTATCGATAATATGGAAATAAAAGGTGTTATCGATTATATGGAAACGGAAGCAGTTATCGATAATATAAAAAGTTAACGACAAGAATAACTCAAAGGCTCGATCTGCGTAGCTTAAGTTGAGTTTAAAGGACACATTTCAAGTCTCCAGCTCAAGTATGTGGTTCCGGATATCGAAGAAAGGACCGAGGGACGAAAGCGGGATCTGGATCATGTTTTTGAGATCGGGATGCTTTCGTTTAGGCCTAAACCCTTATGCGCTTTCTGTGCCTTTTCAATGTATTCAGCGCATAATAAATGAACTTTAAGCTTAATTAAGTCAGGGCATTTCTTACCTGCCCAATATTTCTTTGGGTTCATATTTGGCATAGAAGCCCTTGGCCGCATCCTTGTCGGGCAGCAGGTCGTCCTCTTCGTCTTTGGCCATTAGATCGAGTGAAATTTTGGCGACGTTCTCAGACGGCGCAGCGGCAACAGCGCACTTCACTTGTTCTTCCTCTTTTTCTCCTTGTCGTTCTTGTTGTTGTTGTTAATTGTAATCCAAATCCGCAGTTGTGTGTTGGCGACAGAATCCAATTCAACAATAATCCCCCCACACCGTTAAATCACGCTCTTTCTCTATCTCTCTCTCTCTCTCTGTCGCTCTTTTGGCGTGCTGCTATTTTTATAAACGACGCGACGCGTTGCGATGCGATCAGTGCACGAATTGAATCTGTTCCGTTATGTGCCGACAACTGGCCGACGCCTGCGTTTGAGGGGGGGCTGTGCTGTGCTCTGCTGCGATCGCTGCTGCTGCGCTGTTCAGTTCTCTTTTTGCTTTTAATTACCAACAAATCGTTGATGTTGGCGTCGCTGCTGCTGCCGCTGCTGCCGCTGCCTCTGCTGCCGCTGCTGCTGTTGTGCCGGTGTTTTGCAGCTCTGGCTGGTGGCTGACTTGGTATAAGAAGAAGCAGTAGCAGCAATTGTTGTTGCTGTATAAGTCAAATGTGGGCTGCTGTTGCTGCTGTTGCTCTCTCATTCCCACTCGTTGGCTCGCTCACACTCAGCTGTTGTTACGGCTGCCGCTGCGGCTGCTGATTTAATTAATAACGAATGCCAGCTACAACAAATCGATTCAAACAGAACAACAACAAAAAAAAAATAACAAAAAATCAAATCAAATAAAATAGAATTAGCATTTCTTTTTTTTTTTCTTTAGTTTTTTTTTAGTTTTGCGCTTATGAATGATTACACAACGCGTGGCCCAATAAATGGCGACAAATGCGTTCACATGCTTAATTACATGCACTCACTCCCACTCACACAGACAGACACCCCCTCCTCCACTCTCACTCCCTCTCTCTCTCTCGCTCTCTCTCACTCTCTTGCACTCACAATATTAACTGTTTGTTTTGATCAGTTTTATTGCACATTTACTAGCACTGGACGGACACAAGGGGCCAACAGACGAAACCGAACTCGAGCGTCGTCTCTGCCACAGCTGCTGTTGCAGTCGACGTCACAGTCGCTGCTTTGCTTGCGTGTTTTTGTTGCCGCAGGTGAATTGGTCGCTGTTGCTATTGCTTATTATTTGCACTAATTTTCTTATTTTTTTTTTTTTTGGTAAGTTGGAGGCGCGTTGCACATGTCCAAAGGGCTGAAGATTTCAATTCGAGGCTTGTTCTCCTTTTCTAGCGCACACAACACACAACACCAGCGTGCAGGCAGGCAGCCAGCCAGCCAGACAGACGCACTGTCTCCGCCTCTAGCGGGTACATTTCAATGTCAACTAAGGTTAAAAGTAATACAGTTGGCGAGGGGAGTTTGCATTGCACATACACCGGACGCACGAACAGCTGCTGCAGTGTTGAAACGTTGCGGGCATCATTAACTTAGTTGGTATTTAGCAATATTAAATAGGCAAACAAAACCCTGTATTTTGGACACAACAATCACAATACTACCGAAACATCTACAAGTACCACAAATAAAACAGCTATCGATATCGAGTGCACAAGCACCGATATGCCGATACAATAACGCAATGCAACCCGCTGTTATCGTGCGATAGTTACGTACCATCTGTGCGATAGTTGCCAACGATGTGGCAGCTCGCGCACAGCGTTGCCACTACAGAACAAAGCCCGTTGCAGAGTTTGAATTTCTTGTTTCACTCACTTTTGACATGTTTGTTTGTTTTTTGTTTTTAATTTTGTTTATTTGACATACACGTATATATTTATGAGTTTATAGTTTTCTTTACGTTTTCTTTTCGTTTTTTTTTTTCTTTTTGTTGTTGTTGTTGTTGAATGGAATACAATTGCAAAGAATATGAAATAGACTTTATAATAATTGGGCAAATGTTTACAATTTTGTTGTTCTTGTTCTTGTTATTGTTGTTGTTTTCTACGATTGAAGCAAAGTTTATGGAAAAAACATTTCGTTTTTTGCTTATTGCTTACGGTTTATTAATACTCCACAACGGGCTTTGATGTGGTTGTTAAATACGTGGCTCAACCTCGGTGTTTACAATATTTTCTTTTTCTTTTTTTGCTTTTCTCTTGTTTTGTTTCGGTTTTAACATACACAATCGAAAGTAAATATATCGTTACATGTATATATAATATATAGGTATAGACGTAATACAATAAAAAAAAAAAAAAAAAAAACTCGAAATACAAATACAAATACACTTGCCAAAAAAAAAAAACAAATTACGGTTGCTCAGTGCCAAAGATACATTACAATAATATATATATATAATAGTAGTATTATGTATATTTTAATATTTATATATATATATAAAAAAAAATGTTTTTTTTTCTGTTTTTGCAAACGCATTTTAGGCCTACAAACTTATCAATAATATCTATGTATATATATATACGTATTTAAACGAAGCTCAGCGCGTTTCAGGATCTACTACTGGTTCCGGATCCGATTCCGGTTCCGCTTCCGGTTCTGAATCTGATTCCGGCTCGAAACGGAACTGATTCGTTCAGTACAATAGATCGGTCTTTTGGGCGCCCTCGCTGTAAACAATGCCGCCCGCCGGCGCCGACGACGCCGCCACCGAGGTCGTCAGATAGTCCTCGACATCCTCGGGCGCAGCCGCCAGCTCCTTGCCGCCGCTCTCCTCCTTGCTGTGTCCCTCTCCGCTGCCGTTGCCGTTGTAGCTGCCGCCGTTTGTGGCAGCAGGCGCTGGGCTGCCGTTGCTGCTGCTGTCGGGCGTGGCATAGCGCGTGACGCCCAGCTGGAAGAGGCTGTCCATGGGCGAGGCCTTGAGGGGGGTGTAGAAGCCCAGGGCCGTAGAGCCTGAAATAATGCGGGGGGGGGGATCAAACGTTCAATTAGAGTTGCATTTAAATTAAACCTCAGCATAAGTTGTAGAGCATCTGAGCATCAGTGTTGGTTAATGTGCAAATTAAGGTGAAACAAAATTATAAATGTGTGTGTGTGTGTGTGTGTGTGTGTGTGTGCGTATGTGTGTAGGTGGATTGGTTTCCAATTGGGGTTAGTTACCTTAGAAGTTAATATGAATTGGCGATTAGTTTTGTTTGCTTTTGTGTTAGGCTTCAGTTGCTAACCAACACCGAAAGTATTTGCCAGTGTTGTCAACGCATGGCAGCGGTGCATAGAGAGGATTTTGGTTAGAGGTGGGCTGTTCGAGCGCGAGAGAGAGAGAGACGTTGCTTTGCACTTGTTGCCGCCTTTTTCAGTTAAGTTATTTTTTTTTTTACTTTGATTTCGTTATATATATAAACATATATATATATATATATATATATATGTATATATATGATATTATAGTTATAGTTTTTGTATATTATATAGATATTATTTCAAAGTATTCTGTGATTAGTTTTAAATAATATCTGCAAAAGAAATTAGTAAACACAAGAGAGAAAACAAAAAAAGGGTAGAGAAAAACAAGAAATGGTTTTAAATGAAAATCGCATTTAGTAGAAATATATATATAATATATATGTACATATATTAGATGGGAAATAATTGTTAGTGTGCTATTAAAGACTTATTTATAGATCATTAGCAGGAAGCTTTAACCAAATGCAATACGAAACGTGCCAACTAGTGAATATAACTTAAAACTAGCTTAATTCATGAGGCGCAGCCAACTTAACGCGTACATAATTAAGTTTAAGTGTTGCCACATCGTTAAAGTTTGTGCCACAAAGCAGAAGAGTGTTACACCAAAAGAACACATTTAATATTACAAAACAAAAATAATAATAATTTCCATGAGCTTCATTTATACAAATTACAAGAAGTGTGGCGTAGGATCACCAAAAGCCTGCCTGGGAACTGATTTTCAGATAAAAACTGGTTAGTTAGCGAGGACAACAATGCACCAGGTGGGAGGAGAGCCTTGTCCAACAACGTAGCAAGTAACGAGTAACGAGACAGAGCTTGCTGCTTTTGGGAGCATACCTTTTAGGATGACACGATCACATTAGAAAATAAGTAGGATTCCTGAACATGGATTTACTTCAAGGAACCTAACAAGCAACGACTGGCCAGGCCCTTAACCATAGCAAGTAGGAAGTAACGAGTAGCGAGTTACGAGTCAATGCGCGTGTTTAAACCAACCATGATACCGAAAAGGGATTACAGAGAGGTATCTATTGACTGATTGGGCGGGTGAGAAGGGCAGGCCCTTAACCATAACGTGTAGCGAGTAACGAGAGAAATGGTCTCGCTGAGCGCAAGTGTAAGCCAAACATTATACTGAAGGGATTAATGGGAATCTGGTTGGGCGTGTGAGAGAGTCGGGGCCTCAACCATAGCAAGTAACGAGTAACAAGCAGCGACTAACAAGCAACCATATATATTAAAGGGAGACGCTTGGGCAAGTGGGTAAACAAGGGCATGCGAGTTTACGATAGCGAGTACCAAGTACAGCGAGTAACGATAATTAGTTGCTCTTGGTGTGTGTTTGTGTGTTTTAACCAAATCAGCAACCGTTCGGATTAAAGGAATCAGGATGGACAAGTGAGTGTAGAGGAGTGGTGTCTGAGCCTCAACCATAGCGAGTAGCGAGCAGCGAGTAACGAGTCAGCAGCTCGTCGCTCTCGGCGTGTGCCTTAACAAATCGTAGCTACCATAGGGATTGGGATTAGCGAGTGAGTATAAAACAGCCGAAACCGTAGCGAGTAACTAGACAACTCGTTGGGCTAAGCATGTGTGTGTGTGTGCGAGTTGTTAGCCAAGTTGGGAGCAGGGCTTACGACGAGTACAATTAAATAGCTTGAGTTTGCCTACGTTTCACAGAGACAGGTTTAATCGGAGTGCAGTAAAGCAGAGTTTTGTGGAGTTGCGTAGCTTGGAGCGATTCCGCGACGGTTCAACTTTTGGATCAGACATAGTAGAGTGTATTGCCTGGTATGCGTGCCTGCAGCAGGGCTGTGGAGGCGTTGGGTAGCGCTAGCGAAGACGACGACGTGGACGACAGGTGTGTGGCTACAGGCAGACTGGCGCGACGGCGACTCAAGGAGCTTCCATTGCTGCAGGTTGTTGGCGCTGCTGCTGCTGCTGCTGCTGCAGTTGTTGTCGTCGTTGTTGTTGTTGTTGTTATTGTTGGATTGTGTTTAATGTATTTACTCGGCTGTTGTGGCTTGGCGGCGTACGAGAAGGAGGCAGCTTTGCGCTTTGCCTGATGCGCCGGCTGCACTGCATCATTTTGCAGAAAGCAGGCATATTGCGGCTTTAACAGAACCGACGGTCTACGACGTTGTTGCTGTAGTTCTTGTTGCTGCTGTTCTTGTTGTGGGGCGTCCATTTGCTGTGGCTGTGGCTGTGGTTGTGGCTGTTGCAAGATAATACCCCTCCCCAAACTTGGGTAATCTGCAAATATGCGTGATGCTTAAATTGAAAGCCTGACAGGCTGCGCCGTTTGGTGAGGTGCTGGGGTGCTCAGGTCAAGGGTCACAGTCGGCTGGGAGCTAGAGATAGCATAGTTTTCTGTTTGGGGCTATAAGAGGGTTAGGGGCTTGGGGGCTTTGGGGGAGAGGGGCTGGCTGCATGGGCGTCCACCCACCTGATGAGCTGAATTAGTTTGCGAAATCTTTTGATCAGCTGCCTGCCAGGTGGCAACGCCAATTGCCAGCAGGGCTTCAGGCAGCAGCAGCACGCAGCCCTGGCAGCCCTGGCACCCCTCAGCCAGTCCCTAGACAAGCTAGTTGAATTGGACGAGTTAGCGGCAATCGCTATGTTAACTGTAACAGTGGCGTTTTCTGTAAAGTGCAGAGATTTTTCTTGTTGTTGTTGTTGTTGTTGTTGGCATGCAAATGCAAATGGAACATCGTATGTTGAGTATTGTGTGTAGGTGTGGTGAGTATGTTATGACAGGATGCTGCGTGCATGTGAGGTGGAGAGAAAGACAGAGAGTGTGTGTGAGAGAGAGCGTGTATTTGTGTTAAAGTGTACTAATTCCTGTCTAACCCCCCCCCCCTCCCCACTGCACAGATGGCGCCAATAAAAAGTGTTAAAACTCAAGAGCACAGCACTACAAAAAAGACAGAGATATGCATGTATATATATATATCTATATGTATGTATATATAGACACTGATTAAAGAACAAAGACAAAGAGAGAACACAGATAGAGAGAGACAGAGAGCGAGAGAGTGAGAGCGAAAGAGAGGCAGTTGCGGCTCTTGGCAGGCATGCATATATGCACACATATGTAGATATATGTATGTATGTATGTATGTTTTTAGACAGGGTTGCCACACTTACCTAATGGTAAATTCCCCAGCATTGCGCTGGTTCCCGACGTCTTATGCGACGCAGAGGATGTCGCCGCGGCTGTCGGCAGCTCAATTATCTCATCGACTGTAACATGATGATGTTGTTGCTGCTGTTGTTGCTGCTGCTGCTGTTGTTGTTGCTGGTGCTGCAACCTGAGGTGCTCCTCGTAGTAGAGCTGATGATGCTTGGTAACATTACTGTAGGGATCGGCATACGGCGGATCGTCAATGGTCTGCGATGCCTCGGAGGGATATTCAAACGTTGACGTTAACGTATCGTTAAATTGTACGCGGAACTGTAAAACGAACAAAACGTAACAAATGGTTAGTTATATAAAAAAAAATAAAATAACATGCTCGATATCTGTCACATTGATGAAACGCACCCTAACCGGACCCCCCCTCGCCAACCACACCACCTACAGACCTCACCTCATAAAACCATTTTGAAAGAACAACGAGAAACCCCTAAAAAGCCACTTTTAATGCATTTTGATTAATAGCGACGGCAGCAACAAATAAATAAATAAGTTAATGATAACGCACAAGGAAATGAAAAACATAAATAAAAAATAATAAACGACTTAGATTAGTTCCAATTGCTGTAGTCGCAGCTCGAATACCCTATCCGCGAGATCGAAATGATGTAGCTCTTCGATTTTAATGATATTGTTAATGGTCAAAATCAAAGTACTTTAATTTTCTAAAAGAACCGTTATAGTATAACAGACTAGCCGCATGTTAACAGTTTAACAGCATGTTAACCGTTTAACAGCATGTTAACAGTTTAACAACTTGCTAACAGCCCAAAGGCAGTTAACAGCGCTAACAGCATGTTAACAGCGCTAACAGCATGTTAACAGCGCTAACAGCATGTTAACAACATTTAATCTGCACAGATTACGAGCAGCTTCTTCCGCCCCTTATTCTTCTGTTTCTTCCGCAGCTTCTTCCTCTGCTTCTTCCGGAACGTATCGCAGAGCAAAACGACAACAGATAAAAAGAAACAACGGCAAATGAAAGTGGCTCAAGTAAGTTTTCTTACGCTTCTTCATCTTGTGCCCTTAATACAAGCGTGCAAAAAAATATGAATTTGTGACAAAGGGAAAAATACTTCAAAAGAAAATTTAGAAGAAAAAAAAAAAAAAAAAAACAAAAATAAATCAAATAAAACGAAACGAAATACTGGCCCCGCTCGCTACAAAATATAATTGCTGTTAATTGTTTAACAACTGTTTTTTTTTTTTTTTTTAATTTATTTTGACAGCGATTAAAAGTTAAACGAAAGTGAAATTAAGGCCAATACGCAGCTGCAATTAGAAATGCCAAAAAAAAAACACAAAAAAAATGGCACAAACTGAAAATGCCCGCAACTAGAATAAACATAGGGTATATCTAGTACAGTGAAAGCACGCTCGAGCGGACAAGCCTGCGATTAAAGCTCCTTGAAACGACTTATAAAACCATATAATACCTATAAGAACTGAGCGCCTAAACAATATCAAATATCTGAAAATATGTAACTTTGTAGTTTTTAGAACAAATTCAGAATTTGGACTTGTCTTTCGTTTAGCAGAGCCTTCACTGTATGTACAATCTATCTGTGCGTTATGTGGCCTACCTTTCAGTTTTGGTCAAAATACCCTGTACTGAAAAAAAAAATACTGATATCTCGATATCCGATAAGAAGCGCTTATTATTACAATGCGACAAATTCTTCTTGCGACTGCCGTTACAATCAATTGGTGGCCCACACACTGTACAACAACAACAACAACAACAACAACAACAGCAACTAATCTTATCTTATCCTTTTCAAACAAAAACAGAACAAAAAAAGAACCCACACTATCTGGCAACTCAAGTATTACGGTGAGTGGGCATTAGTCATGACTAACGTGCTAGTAGTACGTACTATCTTGTATGTGCGTGCGTGTGTGTGTGTGTGTAGCACATTATGTAGTTAGTCACAATGAGGAAAATGTGTTCGCAATAACGGGTCGCCTTCATTAATGCGGAAATCAATTTCGGCAGATTTCGGCGTAAATAGAGTGTGAGAGAGGGGCGCGGTTTGGGGTCTGTCTACTCACCGATGAATCTTTGGGTTTCTGGCGTATGCTGGACTTGCCATCGATCACAATATTCGCATTCTCGAACTCGACGTCGCAGGGCGAGGGCGGGCACATTGAATAATCATCGTAGTCCGTGTCTGTCGATGTCTCCACCGAAAGGTCGCCCAGCAGCACGAAGCCCGGTTCATTTGGCTGGAAAGTGAAAATATAACAACAAAAAAACATTGGAATGAAACAACATTTCTTTTAAAAGCTTCAACTGATGGCTAGGGGGTAAAGGCAAGAAGGGATGGAGGGGGGGGTTTATGGTTTCGAGGTCGCTCTGAATCACAGCTGTCCCATTTCTCGCCATGTCAGACGCCGAACCTAATGAACGGCATGTAACCAACAGCAGATAATAAAGTTCAGGCAGAGATAACAAAAAAAAAAAACACACACACACACACATACATACATATGTATGTATGTATTATACATAAAGAGCCCAACAAGAACAACATAATGCATAAAGCAAAAGCGACCAGAATTGAACGTCAAAAAAGAATTGACAAAATTGAGTTCAGAGTGTGGCACAAAAAAACGGGTTTACCAGCGAGCAAGAGCAAAAGGAAGAGCCAGAGCGGCAGAGCGTCAGAGCATTCGCGTGCTTTGCGCGCCAGAGAGAGAGAGAGAGCGAGAGAGAGAGAGAGCTGGAGGGAGAACGAGTGTGAGCAGGCTTTGTGTGTTGAGCAGAGCAGCTTTTGTTCGAAAAACAGCTGTGCAAGCCAACGCGCCCTGCAGCCACCCTGCCCCCTGCCCCTTCACCATACCATGAACAAAAGCAATTCACCACAGCACCAAAGAGCTCCACAACATGCGTCCCGCTCGTTCAATGCTCTCCTTTATAAGTCATAATATATCTTTGTCTGCTTTAGCCTATGTACACAAACACGCATACATACAAACATATGTATGCATGCATACGTGTGTATACATATGTATGTATGTAGCAGCAGGAAGCAAAGAACAAACGAAGAAATATCGTAATATGTGTACATGTGTGTGTGTGTGTATCAAAACGGGTTTTTGCAATGCAATCGCAGGCAGAAAGAGGAAGAATTCGCCAATCGCAGCAGCAATGCATCCAACATTTTTTAATGTTAAGCAAAGCGTCTGGAATACACACACATCCATACTTGACAATATGTACATATGTATGTATGTATGTATGTATGTATGTATGTTTGGACATTGATCAGCGAAACATTTGCATAATTCGAATTTATCGAACACTGCGCAAAGCGGTTGTGAGCAATTTCCATGATGCGGCGATCGCGAGTCAAGCTTGAAATAGCTCAGACGATTGCATGCGCCTGCCTTCTCACATGGGGTGCGCATCATTCAAACATTTAGAAGGTCACTCGGCAAGCTGCGCCTCAGCGTCACGCGCAGCACACACGCGCACACACACACACACACACACAGAGACACATAGTACATGTACGTATACGTATAAGGAATTGAATTTCAGCTGCTTCCTATCAAATTGGCGGATGCTAAAACTAGAGTTGGGCACGTGTCGTGCTTTCTTTCGTGACACAGAAATGTATGGGAAAATATTCAAATGAAATATTTACATATCGCTTTTCTCTAAATAAACAGTTGACAAATTGTCCAAGTTTTTCTTTTTTTTTTTTTAATTTACAAGATCGTGCGCATCGTGTTGAAGAAGAAAAAAATCGACACGGTCTCATCTCTAATTGAGACAAACAGATTACAGGATTCACTTGATGCGACATTTTACAGTTGCTTAATAGCTTTTGTGGAAGCGCACAATGTTTTGACATTCTTTACATTTTGTTGCTATTGTTGAACTTTCCAAAATGCGCATGATCTTCCACGCTCTCTCGCTTACGCACTCTCTCTCTCTCTCTTGCTTTCTGGCTCTCGCTCTGTTGGTGGGCGCTTTGTTTCGTATTTGTTTATATGGCAAGCGAAATGTAGAGGCCACAAACACAAATTATGTACAAGTGTGTGTGTCTGTGTGTGTGTGTGCATTGGGGGCCTTGTTAAGGCAAGTCTGAGTATGCGTGTGTGTGTGTGAGTGAGAAGGGGGCTTGCAAAGATTAAGAAGAAATATAATAATTCATACAGAAAATAAGCATGAATAATGCGCAACGGCGCCGCATTCCACGCAGTGGAGGGGGTGAGAGCGGACGACTTCGATTGCTGATAAGCAATGAAAGCAACAGCAACAGCAACAGCAACAGCAACAGCAAACAGCTGGCTAGGCCAGCACCAGGGGCGAGGCGGGACGGGGTGTGGTGGGAATTGTATTTGTATTTGTATTTGTGTGTAATGCGTTATGCGTTACTCACCTTTGGCAGTTCCCGTTTACGTCTGTAGATCACAACATCGCTTTCAATATAATCCGGCACCTCCTTGCCGCTCTTGGAAAAGTTGAACACCATGGAGGTGTTGCTGTCCGCATGGGTGCTGCTGCTAGCGACGCCGCCGCCGCCGCTATTGGCGCCACCTGTCGGCTGTCGGCGCTTGCGCAACGGCCAAATTGGTGAGATGCCGCTGCCCGCTGCTGCAGCGTCCAATTCGCTGCCATCCTTGGTGTTTATCACGTTGTCGAGACTAGTGGCTGCTGCACCACCAGCAGCAGCAGCAGCAGCAGCAGCAGCAGCGGCAGCGGCAGCAGCAGCTGCGTCTGCAGCGAGTGCTGTTGATTTTTTCATTTCATTAATGCGATTCTTTTCAATCTCGCGACTGGTCAGCGGCGTGCCGCACCCGGAACTGGACCCGGAGTTGTTCAGCAGCGGCCTGATGACACCAATTTGCTTAGTTGTTGTTGTTGTTGTTGTTGCTGCTACTACTGTTGTTGTTGTTGTTGTTGTTGTGGATTCGCTGTTATCGCTGCTGCGCTGCGACAATTTTCGACTGCTGGAACTCGTGCTGGAAGCGTGCGCGTTCTCTTGCAAGGCGGCAGCAAATGAGCGCTGGGCGCTGCCGCTGCTGCCGCCGACGCCTCCTGCTTCGTCCAGCGGCAGCGCTGCCGGCGTTGCTGTTAACTTATCGCCAGCCTCGCCCAGCTTAACGCCATTGCATATGTCGTCGCCGTTGCCGTCGCCGCCAGCTTCAGCTGCAGCGTCGTCGTCAACGTCAACCTTTTCGTTGCCTTCGTTGTTCTCTTCGTCTCTGCTATCGTTGTTGTCGTTGTCGTCGTCGTCGTCGTCAACGTCAGCCTCGCCAGCTGCTGCTGCTGCTGCTGCCTGCGTTCGCTGCAGATCGCTGACTAAGCGATGATTGTTGCTGCCAGCACCCGCGACCGCGACCGCGCCCGCTCCTGCGCCTGCGCCCACTCCCGCACCATCTGGCGCTTCCAGCTGCATGCGTTTCATCATTTTGGTAATGCTCGTCACAGGCGAATCGTAGTCGCAGCTGGCTTCCAGCTGCCTGGGAATGATGTCTGGAACGACAGCATGAACATTGGCGCTGCCGACGCGCTGCTTGGGTGTCGAGGCAGCAAATCCTGCTGTTGGCTTGCTGCTGCTGCCGCTGCTGACAGCGCTGCTTGGCTTCTGTTCCTTGATAATCGACTTGTAGCTGGCTACTTTGCTGGCGACGCCGCCGACGCCGTTGCTGCGCTGCGTGGCGCGCGGCCGCCGATTGGCGCTCGCCTCGAACATTTTCAGCGTCTGCTTGACGAGATCCGGCGGTGGGCGTTCGGTGTCATCGATAATGGAGGTTAGACGCTTTGGGGGCGTGGCATCGGTGCCGCTGTGCAAACGTTCGCGTGCATTGTGTATCTTATCCTCGATGCTGACGCAGCTGGACGTGGCTGAGGCAGATGTTGTTGCTGCGGCTGCGGCTGCGACTGCGGCTGGGGACGTACCAGCAGTGACTGCGACTGCGACTGCGCTGCTATTAACCGCTGCCGCTTGATAGCTGGCGCGCTGCGTATTCCACGGCGACTTCTCGCAGAGCAGCGCCTCGACGGAGCGTGCGCGTTTCATTACCTCGTTGCCGCGCTTAAAATGACGCGAGCGCAGCGCGTTACCGTTAAGCGACGTTGACGCCGGCTGCTGTTGCTCCTGCGCCGTCTTCTGCTGCTGCTGTTGCTGCTGGCGTAGCTGCTGCTGCTGCAAGACGCTGACGCTTTTGATGTAACTGCTGCCCGTTGGCTTGGCGCTTAGTATGGGCGGCGCTGCAGCGCTGCGCGTCACATTGACGTTGACTGCGGCAGCGACGGCAATTGTGGAGCTATTTACCTGCTGCTGCTGTTCCTCGTCCTCGACGTCGTCGTTGCGATCGAGCAGCGTATTGAGGCTCGTGGAGCGCTGCAGTCGCTGATTCTGGCTCTGCTGGCGCGACTCGCAGCGCAGCGCCAGATTTAGATAGCGGCAGCGCAGCTTGGACACAATGCCGGGTCCATAGCTGAGATCCTCGTTTTGATCGACGGCGTCCAAAAGCGTTGGCTGCAGCGCAGCGACGCCAACGTCCATGTCGGCATCGGCGCTTTTTAGATGCAGCTGCAGTTGCTGTTGTTGCTGCTGGTGATGATGATGTTGATGATGATGATGATGACGTTGTTGGCCATTTTGTGTGGTTGTCTTTTTCATTTCTTGCATGGCGACCATTGTCGTTTTTACCGCTACTTTTGTGGGCGACGCGGCCGTTTGGCGTTCCAGTTGCTGCTGCTGCTGTTGTTGTTGTTGTTGGTTTTGAATAAACTTGTTGCTCTGCAATTTGTCGGATATTTTCGATTTACAATTTTTATCAATTAAAATTGGCGTATTGCTGCTGCTGCTGGTGCTGCTGCTGCTGCTAATGTAATTGCTTGGCGCTGCTTCAGCAACGCTCTGGCCTGGTTTGCATTTCGTTTGCAACTGATTTGCTGACGACGACGATGTAGCCGCTGTTGCTGCCGTTTGTTTCACATTTGCGCTGCCGCTGCCGCTGACGCCGCTGCTGTTGCTGTTGCCTATTGCTGTTAATGCTCCAGTTGTCGCTGTGCCAGTTTCAACTTCACCAGAGCGCACGTTCGCATACACCATGCTAGCGCTATTCACCTCAGCGTCACGCTCTCTGCACGCTCGCTCGCGCTCTCTCTCATGCTCACGCTCACGCTCACGCTCTCTGGTATCCAAATTTAGAATCTCTTCTTGCTCCTTACCAGTTGATTGACTTCTTGTGTTGAATAAACTTGATCGCTGCTTTGGTATTGGTGCCGCTGCCGCTGCTGCTGCCGCTGCTGATGCTGCCGTTTCTGCTGAAAAGGCCGTGGCTAAATCTTTGCCTTGTGTACTTTGGGCCGCCGCTGCTGCTGTCGCTGCCGCCGCTGCTGCTGTTGGAATCGTCTGATGACCTCCACTTCCAATAAAACATTTCTCAGACTTTTCCTCTGTTGGTGAAGTCTTAAATGCTGCTTCTTGTTGTTGTTGCTGTTGTTGTGTTTGGCTTACATTTCGTTTCACATGCTGCTGTTGTTGTTGTTGTTGTTGTTGACTAGTTGTTGCTGCTGCTGCGACTGCGCTGCCTTCAGTCGCACCTGAATCTGCAATAAAATTGGCCATAAAACGAAACACAAATTGATGACAAATTCAAGTCGATTGGTAAAAATAAACAAAATATTAGACACACAAAACGAACGTTTGCATTGAATTTTAGCTCAATTATCAATTGATAACATTTGATAAGAGCAGCTGGCAAGCGACCAAAATAACGGACAAGTGTCTGCTCTAATCAAGAGTGCCCGACTATCTCGTATACCCTGCAAAGCGGCTTACAGTTGGTTTAACATGCGTACGTTTAGACATTTCAACTTTCTGTTATATGTACTCTCTCTCTCTCTCTCTCTCTTTGCCCGACTAGCAGATACCCTGTTACGAGTTGACATAAAATGCACTTGTTCACACATTCGACTTTCACTCTATACACATACAAATACATATGCAGGCATGTGCTTCTTCTTTCTACTCAGCCCCCCAAACTTATGGGAAATGCGATCTCAAGAAACTTCGGTCTTTATAGTCCGATCTAGCTGAAATTTTCACTGCTTTAACATGACATTGAAACAAGTGCATATATCAAATATGAGAGGCTTACGTTTCAATATCTTTGAGATATTTAAAGAGTTGAAACAAATATTCGAAATTCACTCCGGCACAAAAATCAAAGTAAGCGGCAGTTAAAATTTTCGAGATATGCTTAGTTTTAGGTAGCTATAACTTGGAGCTTTTTAAAAAATTAAAAAAAAAGTCGAGATTTTCTACTGAATAAACTTCGAGAAGATAAAGGCTCAAAATCTATATATATAGCGATGTCGGGCTTACAGATCGAAATTCTCCATAAAAAAAAAACTGATAAATGAGCAGAAATGTATCTGAGATTGACAGCCGTTCAGAAGTAGCTATTCGCACCTGGCACAAACACGCCCATGATACCAACATAGTCTCCTTTATAGACTCAATATCAATGGGTATACTGCCATAGAATCAATATAGCCTCTTACCTATGCACATATTATCAATGGATTTACAGGGTATTCAAGCAAAAACAGCCTCATTCGCCGTTATCGATAAACGATTACTCACGCCCAGCAATAACAGCTGTGCCTCTGCCGTGTGTCGATATTCACAGGTGAAATAACAAGCAGGTAAAACAAACAGCTTTCAATAATTACAATTTCAGTTCTTAATCAGCTCTCACTTATTAACGTGGCTAATTAGCCGCCAGCTGCAAAGCCAATTGCAGGCTTACACATGTTATATTATATATATATATATATATATATATATATATATAAATGCATCTATAAAGATATCGATATGGATATATATAATATATATATATATATATATGTGCGATTTCATGAATCGATATCGACACCTTTCGCATGAGTGCGTTTGTTTTTTGTTCTGAATGAAAACTCTTTAATTACCGAACCGATCTCAATGAAAGGGCATTTCGCTATTCTGGCCGGCAGATGGCGCCACCTTATAGCCCATATATATGTCTGGATCTCGAGAAATAATAGAGCTAGAGACTTGAAATTTTGGATGCAGTTTCTGCTATGTATTGTGCACATTGGGTTTTTTGCAAACTATAGATAACTTGCCCAGTTTCCAGGTTATGGATAGGTTACGATATGCGATCTTTGAGCATATCTCGAAGCTTTTTGGAGCTAGTTAAGCTAAATTTTGGTACGTAGACTCTTGTATAGTATACACAGCTCCAGAATATTCTATATATTCCACTTACATTCCTTTGATTGTAAAAAAGGCACATTTAGATGGCAGATTTTCACCCTGAGCTGGGATTTAGGTATCTGCTAATCGAGCACTTCTAACTAGAGCTCTATTACGTCTTCTTTCAACTAGGTTCAAAATTTTAGTATGCGCACAAAAGAAATGACATTGGGCGTTATTGAAGCAGAAACTAGCTAATTGCATTAAGATTTTCATGTATATATATGGAGAAAGTATGAATCTTTCAAGTCTTCTTCTTGAAACTCGGGAAATGATTGGTGTATGTTTATGTAATTTAGTATGCAGCTTAAGGAAAGTGTATTAAATGAAACACCAAAAGAAATTCTAGCAGAAAATAAGTCAAGATTCAGATAAAGGTTTTAAAAGGGTTCAAATCGGAAAATATTTGTGATTATAAGGGTAAGGGTATTTATGCAGTTTGGGGAAAGGGTATGAAATATAACAATTGCATAAAATTGTTAGTTAAATGTTTAATTTCTAGCAGAAAATTAGATTAGACTGAGACAAAGGCTTGCAAAAGCGGTTTTAGAACGATCTTTTATCGGAAAGCATTTGTGTTTATTCGGTAAAAAAGGTATTAGCTGTAGCTCAGCTTTGCAGCTTAGGAAAAGGCTATTAAATATAGCCAAACTATGGCCAAAATGGCTAACTTTAAGTTGGTTTAGCTTAAATTAAACGACTAAAATCGGTTTTAGACAGGCTTTAAAACGGCTTTTAGAATGAAAGGGACTGGGAAAGGTTTTAGCTGCTCAAAGCCTTTACAGAAGGCTAGGCGTTGCGACTCAGGTGTGAAAAACTCACCTGCAGGTTCTTGGAAAGCCGCACAGTTGCCATCAGCTGGCGGCGCCGCGGCGGTGGGCGAGCAGGCGGCGGCGTTTGTGCGCGCCACATTCGTTTTGCGGCGCTGGATCAAATCCTTCTTCCACTGCGGCATATCCGGCAGGAAGCCGGCGCCGCCAGCGCTGCCCAGCGGCGTGGTTGCCGGCGAACAGCTGGACATGCTCTCAGCTCCAGCTGCAGTTCCGGCTCCAGTTCCAGCTGTAGCTGCAGTTGACGCATCCGCGGCCAAGTGCAGAGAGGGTCGCTTCTGGGGCGGCTGCTGTTGCTCCAGTGAAGACATTTTTGTCCAGTTTTGTTAAGGCTGCAATTGGCATTCTGTATTAGTGCATCGCCCCAGCTAATGGACCCCAAAAGTGAGCGCAACGTGGCGCGCACTCCAGTCAGACGTCTTGAACCCAGCGGCCAACACAGCCGACTGAAGCGCGGCCGACAAGGCCCAAACACATGCCAAAGTGCGGCTGCAAGTCGCAACTGACCCCACAGATACCCTAACCAAAGCGGCACGCACGACTGGACGGCGTTTTGGTTGGGAACTAAATATATTATCAACAAATTAAATACTTTCTTTTCTCATTTTAATCTTGGTAGCGTATTTACAAGTCGACTTGATGCTGCCTAATTGGATTAACTGTTATATTTTGTTATACTTTTTATCATATATATTATATTTATATTTAACAAAAAATAAATACTTAAATTTTGCTTTTTAATTTATTTGTGCATTTGGAATTTTTGGTAGGGCATTTACACGTCGACTTGACCCTGCTTGGCATTTTTCTTAATTGGATTAACTGTTTTTGTTTTCTTTTTCAATAAAAACGAAGAAAAAGAAAAAAACGCAAGAAACCTCAATATTTGTTCATTGTGAAAAACAAAATATGAAAACAAAATCAAAAGAGAACAAAAAAGAAGCAGCACATAAATGAAGACTATGCTAAATGTAAGAATATATGTAAAAAAAAAAAAATGCAAGTGAATTACTTTTCGTTTCGTTTCGTTTTGGGTTTCTTCTCTGCGCGCGATCGCTTACAGCGGGCGTGAGCGAGAGGGGGAGGGGGGGGGGGTGAGTGAGTGAGAGCGAGCGAGTGCGGCAAGTGTCAAATTGAGAGCTCAGCTTAAATCATAGTTTTTTCATATTTGCCTTTTGCTTGCGTGTGTGTGTGTGTGTGTATCTCAGTTGTGGCTGTCTCTATCTGTGTGTCTGTGTGTGTGTGCAAGGGTGCAGAGCGCAGCCGAGCGGAGCAGGGGCTGCAAATCGCAGACGAAGCATAAAATAAACAAGCGGCAGCAGCGGCGCTGCGCGCTGTGCATATTATCGATTTTTACAAGCTGCAAGAACTTTTGAGCTACACACATACGCACACACACACAGGCATGCATACAGAAACAGTTAAATGCCTGCATACACACATTTATAGCTATGCATGTGTGTGTATGTGTGGAGCCAACTTTTGCAGTCGTCTGGCAATGGGTTGAAAAGAAAGCGTATAACAAACAAAAGCCGCACAAAAACAAAGGCGGCCAGCAAATTAATGAACAGCCCCCTTTTCTTTTTTGGGGTTGGCCAATGGTTGGTGTCCAAATTAGGAGCTAAGAGCCGGGCTCTGTTTATTTACACACACACACACACACACACACACACACACAGAGAGACACACACGAACATGCTTTAACAGACACGCACGCACACATAGGCGCGAGCATAAACATAAACATTTTGCATATTTGAGTTGCTTACTTTTGCTTCCAATTCAGTGCGGTGGGGCTTAACTGGTATTTGTGCACATATGTCTGATAGTTGTATGCATGGATATAATTGATAAGCAGCCACTTAAATAAATATTGTATACGCGCACTTTCTTTACACTGCTGCACTCGGTACAAATGCAATTAAGTCGCATTCGCTGCGCTAAAATGCTCCCAACAACTGAACAGTGTTGGGTTGTTTTTCACACAACTATCGGCTCAGCTATCGATGTTCGGCTTTACAGCGCCTATCGATACTGACACTAGCTTCACTACATGCAGTTTATCAAAACGAAAATTAATATGCAATATTAGTTTTAGTTATTCGGTTAGTAAGCAGACACGTCATCTTATGGCCGATAAGACAAATAACAACAAAATCGTTGACGCGGCAGTTTAAGCGCACGCGCTGCCACATTGTCTGAATTTGATAAAATCGATAAAAGCAATTTGGCAGCAACTCATTTTTTTTGCAAGCAGCTGTAATTATTTGCGTGACAGCTGCAAATGCAATATTTGCACACATTTGCAGTGTTATCGAGTATGATTAATAAGTAAACTGAGCATTTTTACTTGCAAAATTGTCTGTTCAAATAAGCGCGCACATTACTCAAATTGGCAAGTGCTGTTACTCAAATTGGCAAGTGCTGTTACTCAAATTGGCAAGTGCTGTTACTCAAATTGGCAAGTGTTGGCAGAGGGCAACACTCTTTACCTGGAGTTGGCAGCACTGCTTGTGCATTTGAGAAATTCGTGTTTATGTTTTTCTTATCATTGTTGTGAGAGATGAGCATAAACTGGATCAAAATAACCGAACGGTAAGCGCACTTCAAGCATTTCATTTGTCTAAACAATCACTGAACGTGTCCGCATTGCCTTCAAGTGCACGGGAGGGCATCAAAATCATCAATGCCCTGCCCTACGATACCTTCACCACGGTGCTGCTCTACGTGCACCGCCAGATGAGTCCGGCGAGCGCTGGCGCTGCAGCTACTGCTGCGGGTGCGTCCGCCGCGGCGCCGGCTGTCAGCGTCGCGGGCAATGCAACGGCCAGCGGCACGGTGGGCACGAGCGTAACGACCACGGAACGCACGGGCAGCGGCAACGGGACGAGCCATACGAGCAGCGAGCCGGAGTATACGCTGGAGGAGCTGGAACGTTTGGTGGGCGTGCCACGCGCAGATTTTCTGCTGCTAATCAAAACGTTCTCGTACATCTTGCGGCGCATCTCGACGTTCATCATCAAGCCCAGCCATTTGCAGCGCGAGCTGCGCGACAAACTGCAGCTGCAGGACGAGGCGAAAATCGATGCCATATTGCGGCTATGGGTGCGCCAGACGACGCCGATGCTAAACAATTTGGCCAGCGAGCGTTACGAGTCGAATGTCATTGAGGATATGGCCTGGAAGCTGAACGTGGAGATTGCCTCGCATTGTCAGCAGCGCGAGAAGACGGCGCTGGCCGTGCTGCAGCTGAAGACGGGCGCCGGCGAGGACATCAACTTTGAGATGACGCAGCCGGAGCTGCAGCAGCTGTTCAATCAATTCGAGCACATCCAATCCGAGTTGGACGCAACGCTGGCCAACATGAAGGGTAACCAGGGCGAGCACTAATTAACCGCACGATTCCAATCAAATTTATCTCGGTTCTAATGCCTTAATATTAGCGCTAATCGCTTGTAAGTTGTATATACATATTTAATTGTAAACGTATTTGTTTTTAGCTCTAATCTAGTTTAATTTGAAATTAACAAAATCAAAAACAAACAAAAAAAAAAAAAAGTGCTCGATAACGCTTACGTATCGATAAGTTGTATGCGCCACATCGATAACTGTCCAACGCGCAGTGTTGGACATCAATAAAATCCGTTGCAAATTAATTTCAATTACAATTTTCACACATTTTGTTTTCTTGCCTTTTAATATGCATTTCCATTTGGTTTCATAACTCTACTGATAAACATTACAAATTATTACAATGATATAGATGTACTTTTATATGTATATATATATATTGTATATATGCATATGTATTTCGTTTATATATGTATATGTCAAGTCTAGCTTGTCGAAACTCTTGCAGACTTGTTAGTTATTCATTCATGCATATGTATTCTTTAGTTTATACTCGTATGTGTGTGTGTGTGTGTGTGTGAATTGCACATATGTGGCCTGTGGGCTGGAGGGGGGAGCACTTGTTTCGTTGTTAGCTTTTTGTTTTTGTTTTAAATACAGTTAGGCTGTTAACTAGTCTAAAAGCAAAAACGTTTCTATTGCACATTATCAACTAATTTCAACTAAGCTGGAACAAATTGTGCTGGCAACTGAAATTTAACTACATTTGTTATTTTTTGTTAATGCTATTGCTAAATTGTTATTGTTACCGTTAGTTTAGTTACTGCTGTTGCTGCTACTTTTGTGTATGTGTGTGTCTGTATGTCTGTGTATGTGTGTGTGTGTGTGTGTGATTTGGCACCGGCTAAATGCTTATGTTAATTAGCTTACTGTTAGGCTACAGACTCTACCTTAACATTCTGTTCTGTTACAGTACTTATGCATATAGATGCAAAAAAAAACCAAAAAAAAAAAAAAAAATGCAAGTTATCTGTGTTTATCTTTTGTGTTTGTTTTGCTGTGTAAATGATTATCGCCTTTGCTGAAATGCGTTGGTCATTTGTTTTTGTGCTGTTATTGTTATTATTGTTGTTGTTGTTGTTGTTGTAATTGCTCGGTGTACGGCTTCTGTTAGGTGTATTTGTGTCTGCTAAGTTAACAGCGGCAGCGCATTAACAGCACCTGGCGCTGTTAGCTTGCCATGTTATATGTTAAAAATAAAAATTAAAATAAAAAATAAACACAAAATGTTTAACTCTGTTTTTTTTTTTTCTTCTTTTTTAAATACGTTTCTATATAATTAAACAATTATAAAGTAGCACATACATACATCAAAATTACACACATATACAAAGATTTTGTTAATATATATAGTAGATAATATCATATAGTTTACGATAAAAAAAAAAAACAAAATAAAATAATAATAATAATAGCAATAGACTACAAATTAGATGCTGCAACATGTTTGTTTTCTGTTTAAAACTATGTAACTGAATTATTGCAATTTTTACATACATTTTACGTATATGTACACATGTATGTGTATATACATATATATACTCGGATATATATATGTATGTGATCAAGCAGTGCTTATTTCTTGATTTTCTTTTTTCTTTGAGTTATTTAATGTTTAGCTTATTTATAGTTTATAGTATATGTATATAAAAAAAAAACCTTTTAGCGCTCCTTACTTTTTTGTTTCTTTTGTGTTTTTCTTTTTTCCTTTCCTCAACTAAACTCATTTAGTGTACAAAAATTGGAAGTTACATATAGGTATATATATATATATATGTCTATATGCCCGTATATATGTATGTATATATATAACATTACAAAAAATTGTGGCTAGCAATAAAAATATGTTGTCAGTTATAATAATATCGGTAGTATCCATTAGACAATACAGGATTGGATTGATATATATATATATATGTATAGGTATATATATAGATATATATATATGTATAGAAAGGGTATATAGTTGCCTGTGCTGCAGCACGATCTCAATAGCTTGACCGATATATATATATATATATATATGTCTGATCGCACGCTTGGATCGTTATGCACAACAGATCTTTAATTGAATTGATAATATTTTTGTTGCTTAATTGTTGTCATACATATATATAAAAATTGGTTGTATATATATATCGCTTATCCAATCCAGATAGATATATGCATGATATATATACATATATATGCCATATATCGAGAATAATATCAAGCGTTGCCTTTCGAGTTGCTCTTAAGTAAATTGAATTATGTAGTTTTGCCACATGGATTCATCAGGGGGGTTGGGGGTGGGGTGAGGGGTGGGTGTTAGAGCTTTGCCTGGCGGGTGACAGGGAGAGGGGTGGAGGGAGGGGGCCGCGGATCTTTCATCTGGCTCGATTCGCTTTTTACATGCCCGACTCCGCGATGCCCTCGTCATCTGCAAGCATTACACAAAATATTAACAATTGTTAACAAAATTTCAACACATTTAACACCAAATTAAACAAAAGGCAACAAATTAAAAACTTCGACGTGCCGAAGTTTAAATACCCTTGCAGACACTGGACAGATACCATAAAATCTATATAAATAGCTAGTTTTTTATATACAAGTTCGATCTCAAGCAGATCAGGCAAACATATTCTTTGAGTTATCTCCAAAATTGAGCCTTTGTCCGCTTTTAAATGAGCAAAGCGCAAAAAACTGGAATTTCCACCCATTTTCCACTTAAGAGAGTGAATTTGACAAAAGCTGTGAAAGAGGCTTCAAATGAACTCTTGCTACGAATTTTGCTTTTGAGTTTGAACCAGAAAAACTGGAATATAAGTTTTACAACCAAATCAAAAAAATAAGCCCACTTTCCACTAAAGGGAGTGAAAGAGACTTCAAATGAATTCTTGCAAAGATCTCTGGAATTGAGCTTGAACCAGCAACTTCTTTTAGGCTAGCCCAACTTTGAGCTCGAGGAGCATTGGATATTGCTCAAATGAAGTTTGCAAAAGCTATTGGAATATGAGTGAAAGCTCGTTCGAAAAGAAATTTTGTTTTCCGCGCATTTTTCACGCTTGCGAGCGGAATTGAGTTCGATTTTTGCTTGAAATTAGACTGCAAGGGCATAAAATAATAACAATAATATATAGAATAATTAATAAAGCGTGGGAGACATGCAACAGCTACAACAACAAGTACAAGGAACACAAAACGTAACTGAAATGAGAGACATGCAGTGAAAAGAGAGAGGGAGAGAGAGAGAGAGAGAGAGGGAGGGAGCTAGCATGCAAGAGAGTGAGAGAAAGAGAGCGTGAAATATTACAAACCCATAAAAGGATTGGCATAGATGATGCCACCGTTGCCGCCGCCGCCGCCGCCGCCGCCGCCAGCAGCTGCCTCCAGTGCAGCCAGATTGGACACACCCCCCAGACCAAGACCTAGACCAGACCCAGAATTAGTTCCGGCAGCAGCAGGAGTACCTAATCCTGTGACCCCCAACTTGCCCCCCAGCTTGTTGTAGCCATCCGTGTCGCCGATGAGCGTGGCAATGTCCTCCGCATCGGCATCGTGATCGTGATCGGCGGGAGCCGAGGAGTTGCCCAGGAGCTGGTCATAGCAGCTGACATCGGTGCTGATGACATCCACCTCGATGTCATCGTCGTCCTTCTCCAAACTGTTGCGATTGCTGCCGCCGAGCGAGCTGTGCAGCGCATGGGAATCCTCGTAGCTGCCGCCGCCGCTGTCATCGTTCGCATTGTTCGATTTGGTGTCGATGTGCGTTTCGAATTCGTCGTGCATGTAGAGCACATCCTCTGGTACCTCATCCTCTTCCTCTTCATGCTCCTCTTGCTCCTGTTCCTCCTCCTCCTCCTCCTCCTCATCCTCATCCTCCTCCTCTTCCTCCTCCTCCTCCTCCTCGACATCCTGTTCGTGTCGCTGCTGCTCCTCAGCCATTTGCTCCTTCAGCTGCAGCTCCACGCCCAGCTCGAGCGAACGTCGCCGATAGACATCCTCATCCGGCTTGGGCTCCTCCTCGGCAAAGCTCAAGCGCACATTATTCCGTCCGACGGTTGGGATTAGCTCGTGACTGAGACTGTTCTTGATATCACAGGAGCTGGCGCTGAATGTGATCAACTGTGATTTGCGTCTGTGCTGGAGTGTATTGTAGCCATTGCCCAGGGTCTTGCCAGCCGGCTCCCTGCCCTGCGAATCGATGTCGACACGGCTGCCCTCCTTGCAGATCATCGAGCTGGGCTTGTTGTCAACCAGAACAATCACAACCGAATTGTTGTTCTCGCTCTGATTGACCGCCGCCGAATGTCATCTGTCCGGCCCCTCGATCACGCCGAACGAGCTCATCGAGTTCGTTGCCATCCCATGACCCAAACCCAGACCCAGACCCACCCCGACGCCGACGCCGACGCCGACCCCGAAGCTGCTCGTGAGGGGCTGCTGATCGTCGTGAATAATTGCGGCGTTCGCGTCGTCAATGGCCTCCGCCTCGGCCTGTTGCAGCTGCAGCTGCAGATGATCCTCGATGGTGGCCACGATCGCGCCATGCTCCTCCAGCTGAGCATCTGCGCCTGTCCCACACCACAAGAATGTGTATTTGTGTGCGCGTGTTAGAAGAAATTCGCATTTGGGTTAGTCATGTTTTCGCACCCAGCACCAAAAGTTAAGAAATAACAAAAAAAAAAAAAAAAAAAAAAAAAACAATTCCAGTCGAGTGCCACCGACTGCGCCATGCTCTGCTCACAGACGGCAGTTAACACGACCGCCAGATACCCTGCAGCCAGCCTTGACAAACATCTCTCTCAAATATTTCAGTCTTCAATCAGTTAAAGTGAGAGAGAGAGAGAGAGAGAAGTGTTCAATGTGGCCTAGCTCTGCTAAACATATCGATAACTTTGTTATGGGGTCTTCAATATATCGATAACTTGAGCATATCGATTACTTTCCCAAGGGGGAAGCTCCATTCAGGTCCACACCTCTTCCTCATAACTCCTCTAACTCTTGCCTCATCTACTTATTAAAACTATCGATATTTATCGATAAATATCCAGTAATCGATTTATCGGTTATCGATTTTGAGATAATGAGCGCTAGAGTAATCAAATGTGCCAAGTGGGACCACGATGTTTTCACTTCTGGCCAACCTTCTTCCGTTGCGCGAGTACAGGGTATCTAGCGGTCGTGCACTTTCGGCTGTGGCACTCTTACATTTTTCATTTTGTGAACAGAGCATGGCATAGTTCGAATCACAAATGCTGTACAGCATTTGTGG